CTCCCAGAATAGGAACTTTTTGGTTTACATCCTTCCATCCTCAGTTCTAATCACAAATGCTATTTTATACCATTTTAGAGTCTGATTTTTTTCAAAGAATAATATAATGTGGGTATTTTGACATATGATTAACTTTTCTTTTGAAATTATAATTAATGGGTGCATAATATTTTGTTGCAGGGAAGGCCTATAATTTATTCAGCCAATGCCTTAGTATTGCCCATGTAGACAATTTCTAGTTTTAAGCACTTTTTAAAAAAAATGTTTATTTACTTTTGAGAGAGAGAGACATAAAGCCCAAGTGAGGGAGGGGCAGAGAGAGAGGGAGGGAGACACAGAGTCCGAAACAGGGTCCAGGCTCCAAGCTGTCAGCACAGAGCCCGACCCAGGGGCCAAACCCATGAACCAGGGGATCATGACCTGGGCTGAAATAAGATGCTTTTTTTTTTTCTTTAATGTCTTATTTATTTTTGAGAGAGAGTGTGTGTGAGCAGGGGAGGGGCAGAGAGAGAGGTAGACACAGAATCTGAAGCAGGCTCCAGGCTCCAAGCTGTCAGCACAGAGCCCGATGCGGGACTCGAACCTACAAACCGTGAGATCATGACCTGAGCCAAAGTGGGACACTTCACCAACGGAGCTACCCAGGCGCCCCAAATTTTGACTACTTTTAATCATCCTGTGAAGAGCATCTTTGTGTATGAATCTTTGTCCACATCGCCGATTATTTCTTTAGAGTAAATCTCAGGAATTAGACATTCTGGGTCAAAGGCTTTTGAAGCATCTTGCCAAATTGCCTTCCAGAAAGATCTTGCCAATTCAGAGTCTGGCCAGCAGCATGGGGGAGACCTTTCACTTTTCCCCGCAGAGTGCTGCCCAGTTTTCTTTGAAATGCCCTGGACATCCTGGCACCTAGGGGTCTGGCATCTGTCCTGCCCACCCTGCTCTCGGGTGAGCTGGCGAACCACTCCCCTGGCCCTCAAGTGGGGCCCCCTGCCCCACTTCTGTGCCACCAGCCTTTGCCAACCCATTGTTCACAAAACAATATGAAGGAAATTGCCTAAGACCTTGGGAGCCGGAAGGTCAGGGGCAGCAATTTTGCAGAGAGTAGTGACTTTTTGGTGCCTCCCTTGTTTTTCTTGAATTTTATTCTTTTGTTGGCTTTCCTGCTCTGCAGGATATTTTTGGCATCCTCTCCCTGCCAGCGAGGCGGAACCCTAGGACCTCTGGGTGGGAGTGGCAGGTAGAGAGAAGCTGCCACCGGGCCCCTGGCAGAGTGACTTTCCATGTCTGGGGTCAAGTCAACTCCCTGACCCCACCTTGCGGGGCAGTGACTTCCTGGGTAGCGGGAGCGGCGGGCGACAGCTCACCCTCACCTCGGGGGGTCCGCGGACGTGACAGAATAAAGAATCTGTTACCGAACACCTGCTTTGTGCCGGATACTTCTCGCACGTCGTCCTTCCAAATGATCCCATCAACCCATTTTGCCACTTACGGGAGCAGAGTTTCAGAGAGGTTGAGTAGTTTGCCCCAGGTCCCACAGCCAGGAAGAGCAGAGGTGGATTCCAACCCAAGTCTGTTGGATTCTAGATGCCCATGTCCCTAACCGCTAGTCGGTACTGTTTCCAAAGAGAGCAGGGAGGGCATGATGGGCTCACTCACCCCAGAAGAGAAAGGCATGTCCCCAGGGAGGGGCTGTCCTGCTGGGCTCCTTCGAGTGGGTGCGGGGTGGGGCCGGCAGGGGGGTGGGGGGAGCTTTGCCAGCTTCCTCGCTTGGCCCATAGCCTGTCTCCACTTAACGGATCTGCTTTTTCCTCCGGCAGACCTGATGTCTTTAAAGAGGATGATGGAGAAGCTCGGGGTCCCCAAGACCCACCTGGAGATGAAAAAGATGATCTCAGAGGTGACAGGTGGGGTCAGCGACACCATCTCCTACCGTGACTTCGTGAACATGATGTTGGGGAAGCGGTCGGCTGTGCTCAAGCTGTGAGTACCGCCCGCCTCTCCTGGGGCCCCTGAAGTCAAAGTCACTGTTGCGCGGAGAGAATTCCTTGGGTGGTGTACTGGACCAGGTTCTTAATTTCTCTGAACCCGATTTCCTTATGTGTCAAATGGTCACATTAACGTGTACCTTGCAGGCAGAGTTTGCCTGTAGCAGAACTTCCTGTAGAGTCAGCACTCAGTAAGCAGCAACCGTGGTGGTGACGGCAGTGATAAAGCTACTGGGAAGCCTTCTGAGCCTCAGTTTCCTCATTTGTAAAGTGATTCTACTACCCTACGGGGTTGTTGAGAGCATCATAGAGTTAACAACCGGCTCCCAAGGGAGGCGGGGTTCAAATGTCGATGGTGTTACTTGCTCCCGAACTGCCCCTGGGCAAATCCCCTTAGATCCCCAAGTCTCCGTTTCTTCCTTTGTAAGAGAGAGAGGATAATAAGTCATCCTGAGGGCTGATGAGATAACACATACGAAGCCTCCAGCCCGGTACTGGCTGATGGCAACCACCTAGCATGTGGTGGCCCAAATCACACTTCATAGGTTCTGCCCAGTGCACAGAAGCACTACAGACAGATTCCCTGGGGAGTCTGTTGCATTGAACGTACAAATGAAAATATACCAAGCTCTTTTGTCATGAAGGGGGAGGTTGAGGCCCAGGGAGGCTGAAGGACTGCTCATGAGCCCACGGGTCAGGCCGCAGAGCTTTAAGTGTGGGGTGGGGTGGGGCAAGAGGTATGGCGGGACAACCATCAAGGTTAGACCGCGGTGCACCCGCGAGGCCAGATGGCAGCCAGCAGGAGGCCTGATGTTTTTGGAAAACACCTAAGATTTAATGCATTTACTGCGTGTCGGGTACTGGTCTACCCTGTGACTCCGTAGATTATCATGTATTAATTTAGCAAATATTTACTGAGCACCAGCTATGTACTAAGGATTATTCTAGGCGCTGGGGACACATGAATTGCTGGGCTCGTGGAGCTTCATTCTAATGACAAGAGGCAGACAAACACAAAATCAAAACCCCGAAAAAGCTGAAACGCCAGATTGCAATGGCGTAGTACAAAGAAAAATAAAGTGGATGAGAGGAACAGAAATGGATGGGATGGTGGACAGGGAAGATATCATTGAGAAGACGGCTTTTGACCAGAGCCCTGAAGGAGGGAGATGTGAAGAGATGAGCCATGTGAAGATCTGAGGAAAAGCATTCCTGGCAGAGTAAACAGCAAGTGCAAGGGTCCTGAGGCAGAACTGTGCTTGTGGGCTTAAAGGAAAAGCATGGAGGCTAGTGTGTCTGGCCATCAGTGAGCGCAGTGAGTGAAGATGAGTTTGCAGAGACGGGCAGACAGGGGACCTTGTAGGTCACGGTCCCACTTAGCCCTTGGCACTAATGTGGAGGGATGCCATTGGATGACTTTAAGCTAGGGGCTGACTTTTTTTTTTAAATATTTATTTATTTAGAGAGAAAGAGCATGAGTGGGGGAGGGGCAGAGAGAGAGGGAGAGAGAGAATCCCAAGCAGGCTCCACACTCAGCACCCAGCCGGATGCAGGTTTCGATCCTGCGACCTCAAGATCACGACCGGAGCTAATGTCAAGAGTCAGACGCTTAACTGACTGAGCCACCCGGGCACCTTGGGGCTGACTTTTAAAAGCCTCTGTCTGCGGTAGGGGTGAGAGTGGCCGCAGGGACACTGTGCAGGCACAAGATGAGGCCACTCAGCCGGGAGAGGGTACAGAGGAGGTAGGCAGAAACCGTTGGAATCGGGAATGATTTGGGAGACAGAACTGGAAGATTTGCTTCCATGCCCAGATATGGGATGTGTATAGGCTAACAAGGAGTCAGACGATTCTGATCTGTCTGGGGTCTGAGTCACCGAGTGACGTTGCTGTTTGCTTTAGGGGCAGCGCAGGTGGGGAAGGCAGGAATTGAGCGTTGAGTTTTTAGGGGCGCCTGGGTGGCTCAGTCGGCTGAGTGGCCGACTTTGGCTCAGGTCACGATCTCGTGCTTTGTGAGTTCGAGCTCAGCGTCGAACGGTGAGATCATGACCTGAGCCAAAGTCAGCTGCTTAACCGACTGAGCCACTCAGGTGCCCCTCCTAGATGTTACCCCTGAAGGCTTGGGAGGTTCTTGAACACCTGAAGGGGCTTTGAGCAGAGCCATGGCCCAGCCTAGCTCTGCCTCCTCCCGGGAGCGTGTTTAGGGGAAGACGCATGGCTTAGAATACAGAGTTCTCTGCACGTTGGTTTTCTCTTCTGCGAAAAAGGGGCTAGCCACCCCTTCCACACAGAGAAGATCCCATGGAGAATGGGTGCAAGGGCATTCTGTTGAGGACCCTACAGACCCGAGGGCGGGGATGATCTTTCCCTCGATGAGGGAAGGAATCCTAATCCTGTTTGGTTTTTTTTTCTCCATCTTCCAAACCAGAGTCATGATGTTTGAAGGAAAAGCCAACGAGAGCAGCCCCAAGCCAGTTGGTCCCCCTCCAGAGAGAGACATTGCCAGCCTGCCCTGAGGACCCCCATCTGGACCTGCCCCCTTCCTCCCCCCTAATCTTGCTGCCCTTCTTGACTCATTGTGATTTGTCTTCTTTGTTTTGTTTGGTCTTTGTGCGTTTGTTTATTTTTTTTAATCAGCAGAACCGGTGATCACTTTGTAAAGCACAAATTATCTGCCTTCAAGGGGCTCTGGGTCGGGGAGTTCTGAGCCTTGGTACCTTCCCTCTGTTCTTCCCTCCTCCCCCCTTCCCTGTGCAGAAGGGCTGACATCAAACCAAAAACTGGAGGGGGCAGGGCCAGGACGGGGAGCCTGGAAGGCTGTGGTCCTCATGTTTGGAGCTGGCACAGTCCGTCCTTCCAGGGTCTTGGAGCTAAGTCCAGGCTTGCTGACCTGGCCCTGATGAAGACCACAGCCCACTCTCGGAAGGCCCTGGAGTAGGTTTCCTCGGACAGCTCTGTGGTTCCGTGCTCTTAGGTTGTCTAGGGCGTGGCCACTCAGTGTCCCATTTCCCCAGCTGATTCCGCCTCAGTCCACACTTCTCATCCTCAGGGAGGTGACAGAAGGAGAGAGGGAGAGAGCAGCTTGGCAATCTGAGCCCTTCCAGAAGGTTCCAGAAGGAATCCTCAGGCCTTGCCTGCATCCACACCTTTATGGGCAGCTCAGAGGGAAAGTGCAGCCCCCTTGCCCTTTGCTGGGGCAGCAAAGGGGGTAGAAGGGAGGCGAGGGGCCTTGGGAGGTGTGTCAGTTCAGTCTGGTGGCACCTTTCAGGGAGGATGCTGAGGGCAGCAGGATAGGAAAAGGAGGAATAGAGTACTTATGGCAAAAAGTCAGCCCCACGAAATTAGCCAAGAGCTGAGAAACAGAAGGTTGCCTTTCTGATCCCAATCTGCTTGAAACCTGACTGTGCCCCCCCATTTGCCTTACCACCTTACATCATTCATTCATTCATTCATTCATTCATTCATTCCCCCATGTAGTCATTCAACAGATATTTATTGACCACGTATTATAAGCTTTAAGCCTCCCCACTTTGTCCCGACATGTGCCTGTCCTCTCACCCCTTTCTCCATCCCAAAACTTTGAGCTTGGGGATTGGATTGGGGTCCCTTGTGATGGACTCCCAGTGTTTTAGGACCCTGATATGCTCTGTAGGTTAGCTGGACCGGACCTCTCATTTCACAGGCGAGAAAACTGTGGTGTTCACAGGGATTAAGTGCCTTGCCAAGGGGTTAATCAGGAGACGGAAGTTTGGACTGGAACCCAGGTGTTCAGATGCCATGCCCATGCCTCGTCTCTGCCCTGGGCTGTCTCAGTCAGTGATGCCAACAAGAGAAGGTGCAGGGAGGGGAAATCTCCTAGGTCAACGATTGAGGAAGGCCCTGGGCCAAGACTCACCTTTCCCAGTGCCTCCAGGTCAGCAACAGGGTTTGGGTAAGGGCCAGGGTGCTCTCCAATTCTGCCTTCCCTAGAGCTTCTCTGCCAAGCCATTTCTCAGAACTCATACAGGAAGGTGTCAACACTCAGCCCCATCTTGGCTGAGCAGGGACCCCAGCCCTGACCCCATATGTTCCGGAGTCCCTTATACCGCCCACTCAGGACTTAGATGCACTCATCCATTGAACATATTTATTAAACACCTGCTATGGGCCAAGAGCCAAGGACCCAGAAGTGAACTGGACAGACTCATAGAATTTAGAGTCCTATGGGGAAGTCAGACCCAGGCAACGACGAGTGAGGTGAATGTTAAGAAAGAGGGGACTGTGGGGTGATTGCACTGCAATCCTGGGCCCGAGACTGAGCCAAGAGTCTTGGAGAAGTCTTCACCAATCGTTAAGTGGAAACGTCTGGGTGCTGTTGGAGGGGGGAGCCAGTGTGGGCTCCCTGCAGCTCCTTAGTGACCCATAATCAAGGGCCCAGGGAGCTGCCCTTAGAGCAGCTTGGGGGAGTGGAGCAGGTGGAGGATGGGGAAATGCCCGGTTGGGTTAATCTACTAGTCTCAACCAGTTCAGGAGCAAGATTATTTGGCCATGACTGGCTGATCCTCAGCCTAAGGAGCTGCTTCAAATGCACAAGCCTAGTTGAAGTTTAAACCCCAGCAAAACAGTTCTCCCTGCAAATGTAAAATCTTACTCCAACACCTCCTCTGCCTTTCCCACCCCCCACTCTGGAGATCATTAGATGAACAGCTGCCTGTCCCCACCCCTTCCCACTGTCCTCTCTTTGGGACAGGCTGAGACCTTTGAGCAAGGTAATACCTTCCTTAACTATCCATTATAGTCAGTGTAACTGTTCCTAACTAAAGAGAGGAGAGCAGAAGCAATCAGGCTTACTTGAGTAGGTCCCACAGTTTATAAGACTGTAGAAAGCCTCCTTTAAGGGAGGGGAGCAAGGAGGCGTGTCCCCAGCTTCTGGAAAGGGCAGGAAAGAAGGTTCTCTCGTTGGATGGGGAGCATCCTGGGAAACGCCACCAGTTCCTCCACCATTTCCTAGAGGGAGAGGGACTCAAAAGTGGTCCCGGAAAAGGGGGGGTGTGCATGTATTTCAGATCGTGGCTATTGGCTCTAGGACTTACTTTTCTGGCTAAGGGCTCAGCTTCTTAGAACTTCAGCTGTCTTTTTTCTGAAAGACCAAATCTAACTAATGCAACCAGGAACTTGGGGACTGCCAAGTATGGCTTTGTCCCTATGACTCAAAAGGAAGGAGTTTGCTAGGCAAGTTCAGGTGGATGAAGTGTGTGTGTGTGTGTGTGTGTACGCATATAAGTGTGTGTGGTGCTGGCTATCATCTCCACGGACTAGAAATAAAACAGACAACCTTATCAGTGTCTTGATTTGTGTATTTTGGGGACAGTTCCTGGGCTCAGCAAATTCAGGAGACAGCGAATATAGTAACAGTTCGAAAGAATGTGTCCCGTGTGCGGGGCTCTGTTAAATGCTGAACTTCATTTACTCCTCACAACAGCTCCATGAGACAGGTTCTGTTATGTTATCCTTGCTTTAAAAAAGCAGCCTTGAAGCAGATAAGCAATTTTGCTGAAACCAAACAGTAAAGTAGAAGAAAATGATCCCCATCCGCGGCGTTAACCCCTAGGCTCCAGATTTAAGAATTTCTGTCCCAGAGCATTTATAATTCCAAAACAAACACCTCTACGTAGGACTGTAATAGTCGTCAATCGACACATCCGGACAAGCTGAATTCTAATCCTGCCTTCACCACTTTCTGAGGGGCACTGGGGAATTTTCTAAACTTCTCATCAATTAAATGGCAACAATAAACCCCTCGGTGACTAGGATGTCTCGGACGTTAAATAACACACGTAAAGTGTTTTTGCGCAGTTTCCACGCTCTTGCTCGGGAAATGATTACCCTGGAAGGAACCAAGCTGATCTTTGGTGCCCTTTACCCTCTCATTTCAGCCTTCCTGCTCAGACACGGAAGAGTCCTCCGTGGCCCCACCCACCCACTTTTCGAACCTGTTCCTCCACACCCCCCTGCAAAGCCTCTCTCAAGAGCTGCCCCCTGGAAACGTCTGTCAGGTTTCCTCACTCCTCTCACTCGGGGACTGTTAGTAACCACCTACACCCCAGTGTTAATGTGAGGTCTCAGCGACACAAGGAGCAGGGGGAACGCGAGCAGGCGCCTCGCAACCACAGAAACCAACAGGCAGCCAGCCCGCTCCAGCCTCGACGCCGGGGGCGGGACCTGGGCGCTTCAGGGCGCAGGCGCGTCCGCCCTGGGGCCACGCCCCCTCGTCGGCCAATAGGAGGCGGTGGCCAGGAGAGCGCGCGACTTCAGGAGGTCCCTCAGTCTCCGCCGACCACACGGCCGACTGGGACGTATGACGTCACCGAAGCGCGCCGGAAGTGCGGAGTCTGCGGAGCGCAGCCTGCTGTGAAGGAAGGAAGTTGGCCCCGGAGCGGCCTGGGCCGTGTGGGCAAGGCCGCGGGCGGCAGCAGCGGCTGCTTCGGCCAACAGAGGGTGGCGCGATGGGAGACGAGATGGATGCCATGATCCCCGAGCGGGAGATGAAGGTCAGAGACTGGCCGGGGCCTCCCTCCCTTCCTTATTCCCGGCGTCGCCCTGGAGCCCCGCCGAACGCCGGAGCGCGGGGGCCGGCTGTCCCGCTTCCCGCCTCCTGCTTGAACATTTTACCGCGTTCAGAGCTCTCGCCCGCGTCCTGGAGCGGGCTGCCGTGATTAACCCCACCGAATCCGTTTTCCCGTCCCTGGTTGGTCTTGTGCGCGCCACTTGAGTTACCCTAGTTTCACGTGGTGGTCGGTCAGAGTAGTGGTAGTAATTGCTGCTTAAGAGCGTTCTCCGTGTGCCGGACACTGTGGTAATAATCAGCGCAGCAACCCCGCGCGTAGCTGTTCATAACGAGGAGCACATGGAGACGGGGGAAGTAACTTAACCCAGAGTCACATTTGACAGAGGGGCTGAAATGTAGGTGGTGGTTTCTGTTTTTATTTTTTAAGACCCTCTCGTCTTCACTTTCCCTGGTCTCCTTTTGTGAAGTGGTCCAGGCTTGCTTAACGCGGAGCCGGGGTTCACCACCTGTTATACGAAACCTGTAGCGACATGGAATAGAAGGACTATTTTGATATTGGAAATAAGCGTAAGGTCAGAAACGAAAGAGAGGGACAGGTGATCCAAATGACGGTTGTAAGGAAGGTGCAGGAAGCGTTTAGGCGATTGAAGAGGTCCCTGCAATGTGTTTAGGGCGTAGTAATCCATCCCATATGTCGAGTAGTGATTCCCCCTTGAGAATGTCACGGGGGGCCGGAGGGCGCGGGGACCACCCGATGAGAGTGTGCGGATTTCTCAGCTAGGCTGGGGCAGAAGGGAAAAAAAGGTTCCAGAACTACAGGCTTAGAAGATGATAGTCTCCCTTTGAGTTACTGATTATACCAGAAAGGAAAACTTCCATGTGACTCTTTGTACCCCTGGCTCTCCACACACACGTGACCGTGACTCAACTAGGATATTTAGGATTATCAGGATGAGAATGAGAAAAATACTGAAAATTTCATTCTACGCCAGCGTGGTCTCATCTGGAAAGCTGTTTTTTTTCTGGTCGCATACTCATTGGGCATTAAAAGCATTTCAGTTACTCTTTGAGCAGCTATGTATAAATAGCAAAGCTAAGGAAATCGGTAAGTGGAGTGTGTTCGGGTTCCCATACAAAACACCATACACGTACAAACATGTTAAGCTGAGACAGGCTGTCCTTGGCTCTTGCCCTTTCGGAACATAAGCAAAAGGGGGTTCGCCTCCTTTTTACCAAAACCTTGACGTAAGATCAATCTGGAATTCAAGAAAAAAAATCAACGCATCTGGTACAACTGAACATAGTGATTGGTAAACCTATGCAATTCTCACCGAGAGGTGACACCCACTGAAAATCGTCTTTGAAGGCATGTAGGTCAGTTCGCGGAAGGCTTGGTGAGACAGGCAGTCAGGAGGTTGGGGCAGGCTACCAGGCCCTGGAGTGCTAAGGAGCGTGCAAATGGATGGAAATGGAAATGGAATCGGTGGTGGATGGAGGTGGCCCAGGATGTTGCACAATCAATGGGGCACTTGTGGGAGTAAAGCAGAGCGTTGTGAGGTGAGGCTGCAGACGCAGACGGGTCAAGCCATGCCTGGCCTTACAGCCTGTGTTAAGGGCTTTGGACTTGTGTTTGGATGTCCTCATAACACGTAGGTAGGTTTATAGGTCTTGACTATTAAGAGATTGACCATACCCATCCTTTTCCGTGGTGTTTTGTTTAGTATCTGATGCAGGTAAGACGGCTCCTGGGATCTGGTCGTCATTCTGTGGTCATCATGTCCACGTACATGTTTGTCACGCACCGCACTGGCAGTCCAGGCTAACGGCGTAGTTGGGTGATGGCCTTCGATATTTCACAGCAGTTACTGAGGACTCCTCTGGGTCATGAGACAATACTTACCATCAAGTAGGACAAGATTATGAATGATCAAGTACAGCACCTGTGGTTAGGACAGTAAACTAGGAGTTCAGAAAAGGAAAATACCAGTGTGAATTGGATTAGTTAAGGAAGGCTTCATGAAAGAATTTTTAAAATTATGTTTAATTCAATACACGTTACTAGGTCCTCTGCTGGGCACCACAAACCTCTGGGTTGTATTAGGATTAGGGCTGTTGGAATATCATGGAATATCTTTTCCCTGTATTGATCTTGGTTTCATCCTTGACAACAGGATTTTCAGTTTAGAGCCCTGAAGAAGGTGAGAATCTTTGACTCCCCTGAGGAGTTGCCCAAGGAACGCTCGAGTCTGCTAGCCGTGTCCAACAAGTATGGCCTGGTCTTTGCTGGTGGAGCCAGTGGATTGCAGATTTTTCCTACCAAAAATCTTCTTATTCAAAATAAACCTGGTGATGATCCCAACAAGATAGGTAAGTTACTTATTCTTTGTTGCCTAGGAGAGAGAGGGGTGTAGTGAAGGAGTCTCTTTCCCAAGAAATCATTCTAGTATTAAAATTAAAGTGGCTGTGAATCTTCAGGTTGACCCCCAAGAAGAAGTTCTAGGCAGGAAGCCTTTCTGCTTGTTCTGCATGGCTAGGCTTCAAAGTGTGCTTGTATGTTTATGTAGATGTAAAAATTGTTTCACATAGACCGTAGACCTGGTAAAGGGGTTACAGCTTCTGCTTCTGCTTTGTCTTTTTTTTTTTTTTTTTTTTAATCTTTTCTTAGTTGATAAAGTTCAAAGCTTACTGGTTCCTATGAAATTCCCGATACATCACTTGGCCCTGAGCTGTGATAACCTCACACTCTCCGTGTGCATGATGTCCAGTGAATATGGTTCCATTATCGCTTTCTTTGATGTTCGCACATTTTCAAATGAGGTAAGCTCCTGGCAAAGTGTAGCATCAGCATGGGACCTAAAAAGTTTGTCTGGTATTGAGTCATAACCTGGAAATTCTTGGTTGACTCTGGGAGTCTTTTTTCTAGATTAAAGTAGGGGTTTAAAAAAAAGGCATTAACTGTGGGATCTTAGACCTTTGAGATAGAAAGGACTTCAAGAAATTCTTCCCTAATACCCGCCCCAAGGTGTTTTTTTTCTCACTTACAAATGAGAGAGCCCACGCCCAGGGAGCTTTAGGTGACCTGCCCCAAGGCTGTAGAGTTCATAGTAATGTCAGAAGTTCTCATATCCCAGTCTCCGGCCTCCTCTGGCAGTGTTCTTCCACTTCTAGCAGTTTGGGAATGATATTGTCAATAATTTGAGTATTTACACTGACTATGTGCCAGGCCCTGTGCTATATAGGCCCAGGTGCTTTATAGGTGCTTTATAGGCCTTGTCCTCGTTCCTAAGTACCATGGCCTCACAAAGTAGATGCTGTTGTCTTCATTTTATAGATGAAGAAATAGTCCCAAAGAATTTAAACGTGCAAGGGTCCAACACCATTAAGAAGCAGAGCCAAGATTTTAATCTAGTGTTTTCCCTTTACTGATTATTTTGCATTTGTGTATTCCCCTGCTGGAAGTTCTTCCAGTGTGCTAGGATAAGTGACTGCCATTTTCAAAGTTGTGTTGAAATTGTCTGTAACAAATAGATTGTTGCGTAGAGCTAATTTGTTTTTGTCACAGTCGTGGGGGAAAATAAACTGTAATTTGAGAAAAAACTTGCATATTCAGTAATTTTCTTCGACTATTAAATGTCTATGTATTTATTAATTTATCAATTTATTTTTGCTCCTGGGCATCTGTTTTAAAAGGCTAAACAGCAAAAACGCCCATTTGCCTATCATAAGCTTTTGAAAGACGCAGGAGGCATGGTGATCGATATGAAGTGGAACCCCACTGTTGCCTCCATGATGGCAGTTTGTCTGGCCGATGGCAGCATTGCTGTCCTACAAATCACAGAAACAGTGAAAGTGTGTGCGACTCTCCCTTCCACGGTGGCAGTAACATCTGGTGGGTAATAAAGGCTTTCACTCTGTAACATACAATAATGGTAATCTATTTAAAAATTAATTTCTGGAAATAAAAGCAAATGGGGTTTTTTGTTGTGTCTGTTGTTATTTGGTAGAACTGGAGAGTATTCTTTATTTCCATAGTTCACGTTCTTAAAGCCAAACAGCAGACAGGATTTAACTTGAATGTGTGTAGGCGTTCTGGAGAAAGATATATTTTGGTACGGCTAGTTTAGAACTGTGTTTTTAATTTTTTGTTTAATGTTTATTTTTGAGAGAGAGCGAGAGAGTGCGCATGCGCACGCGCACACACACAAGCGGGGGACGGGCAGAGAGAGGGAGACACAAAATCTGAAGCAGGCTCCAGGCACTGAACTGTCCGCACAGAGCCCAACGTGGGGCTCGAATTCACGAACCTCAAGATAATGACCTGTCTGCCCAGAGCCCAACGTGGGGCTCGAACGCATGAACCGCGAGATCATGACCTGAGTGGAGGTCGGATGCGCAACAAACTGAGCCACTCAGGTGCCCTCGAACTGTTTTTGAGAATGATTGTTTCTGGATCCTAAAGGGTAGTGGATGGTACACTGAAAGCCATTTTGTACCTTCAGGGGCAGAGTATTACCAGTGTCAAACAGGAGTAAGAGAATGATTTCTCGATACTTGAAAACTTTTTCTGTTCTCTTTATCTAAAGACTACAGAGTTTTCTGTACCTTCCAGCTTTCTGGACAATACTCCATTGACAAAACATTTGGAACAGTCGACTTAATGGCCCAGTGGTAAATCATAATTGCTTTGTATCATCAGAATGATCTTTAAAAAAATTTTTTTAATGTTTATTTTTGAGAGACAGAGAAGACGAGCGGGGGAAGGGCAGAGATAGACACAGAATCTGAAGCAGGCTCCAGGCTCCCAGCTCTAAGCTGTCAGCACAGAGCCCGACGCGGGGTTCAAACCAATGAACCGTGAGATCATGACCTGAGCTGAAGTCGGACCTTAACCAACTGAGCCACCCAAGGGTCCCAGTTTTTGTTTTTGTTTTTTTTTAACTTTGTTGAATAAAGATGATCCTAGAGTCTTCCGGGGGCTGACCAGGGAATGGAAAGTGGTGATTAAATGGCTGTTTCAGGACAGATCTCATTGGTTTGCTCCATTTTCTTCAGTTCTTAATTGACCGCATTTTCTTCTTTGCTCAGTGTGCTGGAGCCCCAAAGGGAAGCAGCTGGCTGTGGGGAAACAAGATGGAACCGTGGTCCAGTATCTTCCCGTAAGTTGTACTTCAGAACTGTTCGTAAGTTACCCACCTTTGGTGGGTAGTTTGGGGTCTCGTTGGCGTTTCTTTGTCAAAATGTAATTCATGCTCGTTACGACAAATTCATCAGTACACAAGCAAGCAGGAAAGGGGAACTCTTCCTGTCTGTCCCATAGTCTTTCCAGAGGCCTACTCTGTTTTCTTTAGCGGTAGCCTCCAGACTTTTCTGGATGCTTTTACAAATAGTCTGCGTGTAGATGCATTATCTGTCTGTTGTACACACTGATGATAACGCTACACAGTGTTCCCCGGCTTTACATTCCCAGTACATTCTATAAGTGTGTTCCATCAAAACAGTGGAAGCATTATTTGTCAGCTAGCTGAGTCCCTCTTAAAGGTTCAGTTTCTCTAATTATAGAAACTAGACAATGGATGCTCCTGTCACTCTGTCACCCTCTCCCTGTGGTCTTCCTGGGACAATATTCACAGATACTCTGCAGTATAATTGGCAAAGAACCCATATATTTTGGGTCGAGTGTGGATGGCAAGGAGGCATTCGTAGGCAGTGCTGAGACCTGTGTTGCTGTGAATTCCTCCTTGAGATCCCTTCTCTATGGGGTGTGATAGCAGTGGATGTCTGAGTTTGAGGTTGAGGGTTTACTTCTTAGGTTATTGCAGGAAATTGTTATCTGAAATTTGGTATATATTCTCTCAGGGCGTTAGCTTGTAAAAGGATAATAGGATTGGCTTAATTTTATGGGCTTGCTCTTTGCCTTTTTTGTTTTCAATGTAATCATTTTCAGAATCCTTTTTCTAACTCATGATACGTGGAGCCACTTCATTCTTCGGAACGGCTGGATAGTAGTCCGTTCTGTGGACGCACCGTAATTTACTCCCCTGTCCCGCTATTGCTGGCTGTCTGTGTCAGCGTGGGTGGCTTTGCTGCCATAAATGGTGTTGCCTTGCGCATCCTCCCTCTACGCCTGCACGCATTCTTGAGAGATTTCTGTAGGTTGGGGTGCTGGATGTAGGCATTTACCCTTCCCTGTGCTGTCTCCTGGCTGGGAACATGAAACATAGTGGTTTCTGAGGAACATGCTGGATTTGACGGAGTTTCAGCAGCTCATGTGTGTTTCATTTGACACTCTCCCCCCCACCCCCACCCCAAATCTCTTTCAGACTTTGCAGGAGAAAAAAGTCATTCCTTGTCCTCCGTTTTATGAGTCAGATCATCCTGTCAGAGGTAACCCATCTGCTTTTCTTACGGGGCCAGCCTGTCACGAGGTGACACTGTATTACAGAAATGTCAGATCATGTGATGTATCTACACACCCGCCCAGGGAAGTGTTAGTGCCTCCTGCATGAATACTCTCATTATCACCGTTGGCCAGTTAAGTCAGCACAACAGCAGTCCTCTGGTAGACACCCGTGTCTCATGGTACATGATAGTAAACGGATCCTGACTTGTTACTAGGATTCTTTCAAAATTTGCCCTGATTATAATCCACCAGGAAAAAAAAAAAAAATCCCACTTTGGGATGGATTTGGGCTTTCTGAATCTTTGTATCTGTGAATTATATTTAGTCAGTAAAATCCGGACCTTTGTCAAAACTATAGCACTCTGACTTTTTTATCCGTGGGCTGTTAATTTTTTAACACGCAGGAGCTATTCCCAAAGTGAGATGCTTTATCAGAGTGTGTGTATTTCAGTTCTGGATGTGCTGTGGATCGGTACTTACGTCTTCACAATCGTCTATGCTGCTGCAGATGGGACCCTGGAAACTTCTCCAGATGTGGTGATGGCTCTCCTCCCGGTACGTTTGTGAAAGGGACATCTTTGTTCTTTGAGAGCCACAGAGGTCTTCTAGTAAAGGTTAAGGCTTGGGCTCCAGCTTCCTTTTGCTGGCAACGGTGGTACGACTTCAGGCATAAAACTTGGCACCATGGGCCGTGGGGGCCAAAATGATGGTGTCCTCTTAACAGCATAATCTACCGTTTCGTCGTAAAGTGAAGAAAATCATAAAGCTTGCTTTTGCTTACATCGTAAACTATGAGTCCTGGTAGGTGTTAACCTGATAAAGGTATTTGATTGATTGATTGATTGTCAAGTTAGCTAACATAAGTGTGGTCTTGGCTTCAGGAGCAGCCGATAAAGATATTTTAGAAAAGCAAGAAAATACCTTGATTTTTAAAATTCTTCCACTTGTTTATACTTAACCAGATGTTTATCAGATGCCTGCAGGGTGCTAGGCACTGCTTTAAAGCTGAGAATATCGTGGTGACTGAGGCAGAGTCCTTGCTTTTGTGGGTCTTATATTTCTTTTTTTTTTTAATTTTTTTTTTTGTTTATTTTGAGAGGCGAGAGACAGATGTGGCATGCCAACGCGGGGAGGAGAGAGGCAGAGGGAGACACAGAATCTGGAAGCAGGCTCCAGGGTCCGAAACTTCATCAAGCCCAGAGCCGCCCGCAGGTATGGGCTCGGAACTTCATGGACCATGGTAGATCGCGACTCGTTGAAGTCGATGCTTCAATCCCAAATACCGACAGCTTGTATGCTTCCATAATTTATTTCTCAACGAGGTCATAGTCAGTAAAGAAGTGCAGGTCAGGGAATGATAAGGGTGAAGGAGGGAACAGCGAAGGGTTCGGGCGGATAATGACAGGGCTGCAGTTCAGACTGGGTGCGCGAGGAAGGCCTCTGAGGAGGAGCCCTTTGAGCGAGAATGGAATGACCTCAGGGAGTGAGTCATTTTGAAAACCGGGAAGAACATTAATAATAAGAGCTACAAGATGTGACTACGTTGCGGGGACATTTAAAAAGAGATAAATGAGGCAGCGCATATACTTTCCAATCAGTACTGGTTTTCAAAGTGCATAAAAACATTTAAAACTACATAAATAAATGTCTAAATATAACAGAAGTGGGAGTTGCATTAGTTCTGTTTCGCAGCCTTGTTTTAGTGGTAAATCGTAAGCATCTTTTGAAGTCCTTGAATACCATGTATATTTGGCTTTTCGGACAGATGATTTATTTAGCTCTTCTTCCGCTCCTGGATCCTCAGGTGGTTTTCAGTTTTCCCGTTTTAAGGAATACCACGATACGTCCTTTGGTGTACATTTTATGTGATTGTGTTTATCTTGTAGGATAAATACCTGGAAGTGAATTTGGTTCAGTGATGTATGCTCTTGTTGCTAAGGTTTTGAAAACATTGCCAAAGGATCTTCTAGAAAAGCTACAGCAGTTTCCATTCCTGCCACCAGCGTGATTCCCAGTTGCCCCAGATGAAGTCCTTATTTGAAGAGCCCGTTAAGATGTTCTATTCCCAGGGAGAATATCAGCTTTGGCATTTATTGATTCTTGGGTTCCATGTCCTGGGCTAGAAGCTTTATATGTGTCATTTTGTTTCACACTTAAAACTGCCTTTGATGGCAGTGAAGTGAGTTCCACAGGCCCACTACGTGCATAAGAAAACGGTATCAGAGAGGCTGCGGGATCTGTCCGTGCCTGGCCCACAACCAGAAAGTGACAGAACAGCGTATATACAGTTCTGTTCAGTGGCCACCATTCCCGTGCCTTGAACTACTCCACTCTGCCTTTATATCGTGCCTGTGGACTTGGACATAGATTTTTGGGTGAATTTTTTCATAAAACTTAAATGGTTTTGTTTTTTGCGATCCTTAACTGTGTAGAATGAAAGAAAAAGTGCACATGGATTTTTTTTTTCTCCTTTTGTTTCTGGTAGAAAAAAGAAGAAAAGCACCCAGAGATATTTGTGAACTTTATGGAGCCCTGCTATGGTAGCTGCACGGAGAGGAAACACCATTACTACCTCAGTTACATTGAAGAATGGTGAGCCGAGAGCCCGAGAAGGGTTCCTCCTCTCTCTGTCGGGTCCCACCTGAACCACTTGGTTCCAACGTTGAAACTCTTTTCTGTAGGAAAGGAGAATGGAGAGTCGAGGTGCCCCCCACATATTTTCCTCTGATGCTGGATAATGTCTCTCTGACTCCTGTTTCCCCAACTTGAATTATCTCCATCGAATACTCACTGATCCTAAAAATCCCGTTTTCTCAGTAACCCCGGTGATGACTTGACAATGATACTGATATGTAAGGAACATATTAAAAATTTCCCTCAGAGCAAAGGGCTTCCTCTTGAAAGGTAGATAGCTTGAAGCAAAGCTTCTGTCCGGAATTTCACGAGATTATTCTGTTCACAGGGCGATAGATTTATTGGAAATTCCGACGTGATTTTGTCATGTCTCTCGGAAATGGTCAGGCAGTTGGCCGGCTCTCCAGGGCTTTATCCGGTGAACTAAGAGGTTAAGCTTTGTATCTAAAATCTTCTCCCCTCTCTTCAGCCACGTAGGAAACCTCACCTTCCTCCTTGACGTCTTGAGGAAGTCCTTACGGACGCTACCTCAGGCTCAAGTCGGGTTAGAACTGTTGCTGTGTTTTAGTTTAATGGCCTTCCGCTTTTATTCTTCCAAGGGATTTAGTGCTGGCAGCATCCGCAGCTTCAACAGAAGTCAGTATCCTTGCTCGACAAACAGATCAGGTAAATTTCACTCTCTTGTCGCTTCTCCGTGATACTTTTCTGAGAAAGACTCTGGAGGGAGTTAAAACTATGGTGAAGGTTTAGATGAAGCCACGTCCCTTTGAATGAGTTCCTGGGTGACAGCAAAGCTGACGCTTCGCTGATGTGACTGAGCGCCTCGGGCCAGGTGGCTGAGATGTCACAATGGACACATGTGGGTTTCAGACTCCACTGTCAGCCAAAGCCCTTCTGTCCTTTCTGGGTCCACTCTTGATCTGTGGAAACATACGATGAGGTCTGCTGTCAACGGGAGCACGCCTGGATGTAGGAGGTTTTTCTGCCTTGTTTTGTTTTATCACCTTTATTTTTTCGCTCTTGCTTGAACCTGCCCCTTCATTCAGTCAGCTATAACCCATCCTTGATTAATGGAGAGAAACATGCAGATCATACCAAATTGTGACTCATCAGGAATATTTTGTTTCACTTTGGGGCCGCCTAGGTGGCTCAGTTGGTAAGCTTCCGATTTCTACCAATTTCGGCTCAGCTTACGATCTTGTGGCGTGGGGGGGGGCATGGGTTCGAGCCCCGCATCGAGCCCTGCGTGGGGCTCTGTGCTGACAGCTTAGAGGCTGGAGCCCGCTTCAGATTCTGTGTGTCCGTGTTTCCCTCTCTTTCTGCCCCTCCCTTGCTGTGTTCTGTCTCTCAAAAAAATACATTTTTAAAAGTTTTTAAAAAGGGAGGCACCTGGGAGGCTCAATCGTTTGAACGTCCAACTTCGGCTCAGGTCCTGGTCTCACCATTCAGGAGTTCGAGCCCCGTGTCGGGCTCTGGGCAGAAGAAGGCTCAGAGCCAGGAGCCTGCTTCAGAATCTGTGTCTCCCTCTCTCTCTGCCCCTCCCCCACTCACGCTTTCTCTCTTTTTCTCTCTCAAAAATTAATAAACATTAAAAAATTAAATTAAAAAAAAAGAAATATGTTGTTTCACTTTGAAAAACCACCAGAAAGCTAAAAGCGCCCATGCAAGTAAGTGCCCACCTCCTTTCTTGCACTTTGTCCTCCTTGCAAACGAACGAGGTGGGCTGAGGTGGTTGTGACGCCATCCGAAACTGTGGTGGGTTACGCGGAGTTACCACAGAGGAGATGTGCTGAAACAGAAAAGTTTTCTTGAAACTGGTGCCTGGAATTTTAAAGAAAAACTTTTTTTTTTAAGTTTGATTCATTTATTTTGAGAGAGAGA